TGTTGGGCCAGGCTGGTCTTGAACTCCTGACCTCAGGCGATCCACCCGCCTCAGCTTCCGAAAGTGCTGGGATTACAGGCATGAGCCACTGCGCCCGGCAGGATCTCTTGACCTTGTGATCCGCCCGCCTTGGCCTCCCAAAGTGCTAGGATTGCAGGCGTGAGCCACCGCGCCCGGCCCTCTGATTCTTTTTGTCTATCGCTCTGTGCACTCATTCATTCAAGACATTTATGTAGGTGCCCGGCGTTCCTCCCCGGTTCTCCACTACTCTGGCTTTTCTCTAACACAATTTATTTTATTTTATTTTATTTTATTTTATTTATTTAGGACGGAGTCTCACTCTGTCGCCCAGGCTAGAGTGCAGTGATGTGATCTCGGCTCACTGCAACCTCCGCCTCCCAGGTTCAAGCGATTCTCCTGCCTTAGTCTCCCGAGTAGCTGGGATTACAGGAGGTGCCACCACACCTTGCTAATGTTTCTGTATTTTTGGTAGAGACGGGGTTTCACCATGTTGCTCAGGCTGGTTGCAAACTCCTGACCTGGAATGATCCCCCTACCTCGGCCTCCCAAAGTGCTGGGATTACAGGCATGAGCCACCGGGCCAGGCCAATTTATTTTATTTTTAAAGTATTATCATTGTTGTTATTTGAGACAGCAGTGGCGCGATCACTGCAGCCTCGACCTCCTGGGTTCAAGCGATCCTCCCACCTCAGCCTCCCGAGTAGCTGGGACTAAAGGCACACGCCGCCACGCCCTGCTAATTGTTTTCTACTTTTTCTTGTAGGGATGGGTTCTCGCTATGTTGCCCTGACTGGTCTCCAACTTTTGGGCTCAAGAGATCCTCCCTCCTTGGCCTCCCAAGGTAATGGGGTTACAGTTGTGAGCCGCTGGGCCCAGTGTAAGCCACTGCGCCCAGCCTAATACAGTTTGTTGTTGTTATTTTTGTTTTTTTGAGACGGAGTTTCATTCTTGTTGCCCAAGTTGGAGTGCAATGACGCGATCTCGGCTCACTGCAACCTCCGCCTCCCGTGTTCAAGCGATTCTCCTGCCGGTGCGCGCCACCACGCCCGGCTAATTTTTTGTATTTGTAGTAGAAACGGGGTTTCACCATGTTAGCCAGGCTGGTCGCGAAATCCTGACCTCAGGTGATCCACCCACCTCGGCCTCCTAAAGTGCTGGGATTATAGGTGTGAGCCACCGCAGTCCGGCTGTAATATAGTTTTTAAATTTATTCATTCCAAGACTCTTGGGGAGTGCTCAGTGGCGTGCCTGTTGCCTCTCATATTTCTTTCTTCCCTCAGTCTTTTTGGGAGGGCCTCTCCCGTCTGTTTCTTCCCATCTTCCCTGTTATCATCCTGAGACTGGATAGTTCTTGGATAGTCTGGGAGGTAGCAGGGAACCCGAGTTCGGAGCCTCGACCGACCAGAACCTCCAGACGGGAAATTGGAGCAGGTGGTGTCGTTCCCGGACGCTGAGGACGCTCTCCGCCCCTAACCCACAGCCAAACGATCCTAAAAGTAAAAACACGGAGTTTCTGAGTCAAGACTGAGCTGGCGGGGTGGGGACCGAATAGGCGAGGTTGGGAAGCCCAGCGGGTCCCCAGTGGAGAAAACGGGTGAGACGCCTCGTGCCGCGATCTCCAGAATTCGCCTGGGAGGTGGGGTGGCGCTACGGCGCCGCCTTTCTGGGGAGCCGCCTCAGGCTCTGGATGTCCGCTGGGGCCAGACGTTTGGGTCCCGACCTGCGGTTCGCACTTCCCAGGTTTCTTCCCCTGGGAACAGAGCTTGAGCAGGGGGCCACCCCCGCGTCCTACCGGAGCTCTGAGGTGCTGTCAGGCGCGGAGAGCGAACGCGCTGCGCCAGATTCTGTGGGCGCCGGAGATCAGGCCCACTGAGCCGCAGCTGAACTTAGGCGGGGCAGGAAAAAGGATGAGGTGGGGGAAGGCGCTGGGTTCCCGGAACCCCAAGGGGACACTGAGCTGAGTACGTATCGCTTGGGATCCAGGTGTCCTCGTTTTGGGATGTCTGACAGGTGTCCCCAGGGTATGAGAAGTGGGACTGGGCACCCCCTATTTTCTGGTGTGTTTTTTTGTTTGCTTTTTTTCTTTTTTTTTTTTGAGACGGACCACGTTTCCTATCTTGGAAAATGGTACCACTTCTTTGTGCAAGCCTACCCCAGTTCCCTCATCCCTCGTTCAGTCCAACAGCAAATCTGTCCAGTCTTCTAAATGTATCTCAGGTTCAGTAGCCCCGCCTCCTCGTCCCTGCCCATCTTCTGCTGGACCAGTCCGCCATCTTGTGACCGGATTTGGGAATAGCGTGCTACTTCCCGGCGGCCTCCACTCTTGACCCAAATGCAATGTGCAGCCATGACAATCTTTTACAAACAGAAATCGGATCAGGTTACTCCTCTGCCGAAATCCCTCAGGTCAGTGGTTTAGCTGTCGAGGTGCTCCTGGCAGCACTCTGCCCTCCCCACATCATTGACGATTGACTTGTCTCCCCTACTGGACTGTGCCCTGTGAGGGTGGAGACTTTGTGCACGGTTGTATCCCCAAGACCTGATGTAGTGATTCAATAAACATCTGTCCAATTAATAGGAAATAAAGTTCCCTTTCTCATTCCCCTATTGCTGGACCCCTGCCCTCAAGCAGGATGTTATGCCCCAGAGTGGCTGTGGGTGAGAACATTCTGCCCCTCTGGCTGGTCTGGCACTGATTTCCACCCTGAGTTGGTGTTGCCTCTCTCCTTCCTCTTGGCCAACCTCTCTTCCACCAATATAAGCCCAAACTGGAGGCCAGCAGGCAGTCATGCGTTTTATGGCAGGCCCTGCAGGGAGCCAGAATCCGGGTCCCATGTGCTTCCACAGCAGCCTCCAAGCCCTGTACACCGTCCTCTTAATAGTGCTGGTCATGATGAGCTTGGTGTTTGGTAAGTGGTTCCAAGGGTTCAGAAGGGTCTCCTGGCCTGCTGGATGGAGAAACCCACAGACACCAAGCGTCTGGGTACATTTGTCCAGGATGCTCAGGTAAACCCATGCAGGAGGAGAGATGGAATGGATGGGTTTGGTGGGGAATGCCTGCTCATGGACTGATACGCAATCTGAAGATTTATTTATTTATTTATTTATTGAGATGGAGTCTTGCTCTGTCTCCCAGGCTGGAGTACAGTGGTGAGATCTCGGCTCACTGCAAACTCCGCCTCCCGGGTTCAAGCGATTCTCATGCCTCAGCCTCCCGAGTAACTGAGATTACAGGCATGAGCCACCATGCCCAGCTTATTTTTGTATTTTTAGTAGAGACAGGGTTTCGCCATGTTGGCCAGGCTGGTCTTGAACTCCTGACCTCAGGTATCTGCCCACCTCAGCCTCCCAAAGTGCTGGGGTTACAGGCATGAGCCACCACACCCAGCCTCTGAAGATTTCTAGTGACCACCCCAGGGCTGTCTCACTTCACAGCAGTGACCTGAATAGAGATACTGAAGGAATCTTCTCCAGATCTGAGGGCAACATGGAATAGGGAGGTTTAGGGAGTGTGCTGGATGACAGAACTAGAATCCACAGGATAGAACAAGACTGAGTCCAGCCTGCTGGGCTCCCCACTTGGCTGCAAAGCACCAGCCACAGAGACACAGGATTCAAAGTGTTCGTTTAGCACTTTCCTCTGCCTCACACCAAATGCTCTGCTGGGTTCGGGGACTTGTTAACATGTGGCCTGGCCTCAGGACCAGAGGAAAAGGGGGATGTATGTGTATGCAGTTGGGGAAGGAAGCAGAGAATTGGGGCTTTGATGGTTTTCTGAGATAGGAAGGGAGGGAGCAGTGGGGTTGAGTGGCCTGCAATCAGACAGTGGTGGGGTGTGAGGGAGAATGGGGTGTGAGTGGGGTCAGCACTTCTCTGTGTTCTAGGTAAGTTTGTTCCTGTCAATTGGGAACGCCCTCAACCACTTCCAGTCCCCAAATACCTGCGCTGCTACCGATGCCTCTTGGAGACCAAGGAGTTAGGGTGCCTTCTGGGATCTGACACCTGCCTCACCCCGGCTGGCAGCAGCTGCATCACTCTCCACATAAAGAACGGTAAGTGACCTTCTCCTGTCGTGGGCCCAGCACTCTCCCAAACTGAAACTCTCTCGGCCTCCTAAACTGCACCCCAAGTCTTCTTCCCATAATCCCATAAGACACTGCTCTAATCCTGTCTTTTTATTATTATTATTATTATTATTACTATTTTTGCTGCTCTGTCACCCAGGCTGGAGTGCAGTGTCGCAATCTTGGCTCACTACAATGTCCACCTCCCCAGTTCAAGCAGTTCTTGTGCCTCAGTCTCCCAAGCAGCTGGGATTAAAGGTGCACGCCACCACGCCCAGCTAATTTTTTGTATTTTTAGTAGAGATAGGGATTCACCATGTTGGCCAGGCTGGTCTCGAACTCCTGACCTCAGGTGATCCACTGACCTCGGCTTCCCAAAGTGCTGGAATTACAGGCATAAGCCACCACGCCCAGCCTCTCTTTCCTTTTCTTCAGAGCCACACTCTGTCTCCACTTCCACTACTTTCTCTCCTCAATCTGTAGCTGAATAGCTTCCACCCTTTCAAGGTGTGCAGCTTTGATGGGGACCCTCCAGATCTCCACATGCCCTTGCCTGTCCTCAAGCTGCCTGCTCCCCCATCTGTGTGCAGTTACTGCTGGCGTTGCTCTTCTCCTGCATCCTCTACTGCTTCTTCAGTCTCCTTCATGGAGTGTTTTCTCTCTGACCCTTAGTGGTTCATGTTCACCAAGGTTTGGTCCTTAGCTGTGTTCCCACTTCATATACTCAGAGGATTTTATCTGCTTTGCTGGCTTCAACCAGCAGCCACATACCACTTCCTTCTGAATCTGAATATTATGTCAAACTACTCTCCTCATATCCCGTTGGCCATTGGACATCTCCCTCGCTGAAAACTGACTCCTTCCTGATGCCTGCTCTTCCACCGACCCCCCCACCTTCCTTAAGTTAGCAAAAACATAACCATAATATGTGCTAGGCACTATTCTAAACACTTGCAATCCGCTGAGGCAGGTATTACTACTATCCGCATTTTACAGATGAGGAAACTGAGGTGCAGAAAGGTCATAACCTTGCCTGAGTCTCACAGATGCTGAGCCAGAATTTGTGATGGCTCCAGAGATGGTGCTCTCAACAACCACTGCATGCAGCAGCCTGTGTTCAAATCCTCTTATTACTCTTTTAACACAGCCGATGCACAGACATGCATCAAATATCAGAGTATAAAGTACTGTCAAACCAAAGTCTCCCGCTACTACCCTAACCCACCTGGCTCCCCTGCACACGTAACCACTTTTTTTTACTTTGTGGATGATCCCTCCTGCCTGTCTCTTATACACATCTAGATGTGTATAAGAGACAGCCATTCTCCTGCCTCAGCCTCCCGAGTAGCTGGGACTACAGGCGCCCGCCACCTCGCCCGGCTAGTTTTTTGTATTTTTTTTTTAGTAGAGACGGGGCCCTCCTGCAATCTTTTATGCACATTCCACCCTGCACAAGTATGCTGTTTACTATTTTTTCACCTCTTTTTCTCCCCCCCAACAAGATAGTAGCATCCCACTGTAAACATTATTCTGCACTTAACAGTTAGGGGAATTGAATGTTCCAATATCAGTTTGTGAACAGCTTCTTTGTTTTATTGACCTGCGGTGTACTACTCCATAGCATGGGCATATCACAGCTGATTTCCCCATCCCACTATTAATGGGCATTTCGGTCATTTCTCTCAAGCAGGGCAGCAGCAAACATCCCTGTACATGACTTCTTGGGATGCAGGCACAAAGATTTTTCCCTGTTACATATAACAGCAGCAGACATCATCTTATTCTCTTACTTTTGATCTGAAAAATAAATAACAGAACACCTCCTTCCTGCCACCCAATCTCCAAAACATTTCCCAGCTTTTTCTCACATGGTCCTATGGTGCTAGTTCTCCTCACTTGGCTCAGTAACTCCCAACTCCCCCTCCAACCATTTCTTTTCCTCCAGCCTTGCATGGGAACTTCAGTGGAGTTCCATGGCTAGTGAACACTGGGCATGTCCACCCATGCCTAACCACAGGAATCTTTTCTTTTTCTTTTTCTTTTTTTGACTTATAAGTGAGGGGATGAGAGGATTTGGGGCTCCTCCTGGGGACTTCCGTATCACTGGTGCCTGTGGTCCCTCCCCAGGCAGCAATTCTGATGTCATGGTGAGTGACTGCCGAAGTAAGGAGCAGATGAGTGATTGTTCAAATACCCAAACTTCTCCGGTGTCTGGCTTCTGGATATTCTCTCAATGCTGCTTCCTGGATTTCTGCAATGACCCTCAACACAGAGGGCACTATATTTCTTAGTGTGACTGCAACAACCTTTGGTGTAAAATTCTACCAGTTTCCAGCCACCTTCCTGACTTCTTTCTGGGCTTGGCCAGGACTTCTAGTCCCTCATACCAGCCCTCCTTGGCTCCCTCCAGTCAGTGGACCCCAGCCTTGGCTCTTCCTCTTGGTTGGCACCCTTCAGCACCCTTACTCCCACTCTGCACCCCCAGCCCCACTGCCCACCAGGTTTCCTCTCTTGTCCTTAGTCCCTGGATGTTTCTCCCAAATAAATTTGTGTGCAAACTGTTTAGTATGTCTTTTTCTTCTGGTGGAGGTAAAGGCTGAGGGAGGTGCACCTGCCTGACTGCCCTACCATGGGGCAGGTAAGGGGCCCCCAGCTCTGCTGAGGTCTGCTCCTGTCCTGCCTTGGTATGTGATTCGTTCTAGACACAAAAAGGGGAAAAGGAAATGAAAGCCCTCCTATGGTGAACGCCAGAAAGTTAGTGGGCATCCTCGGCAGTGCTGTCAGACCGGAGCTGTGTAGGGGCTGGAGGGGTTTAGAGGGCTATGTTGGTGGGACGGGGGCTGCAAAAGGACCAGGCTAAGGTAGGAGGAGGTGGGCGAGAAGGCCACTCTTTTTTTTGAGACAGAGTCTCACTATCGCCCAGGCTGAAGTGCAGTGGTGTGATCTTGGCTCATTGCAACCTCTGCCTCCCAGGTTCAAGCGATTCTTCTGCCTCAGCCTCCCGAGTAGCTGGGATTACAAGCACATGCCACCACGTCCAGCTAATTTTTGTATTTTATTAGTAGAGACGGGTTTTCACCATGTTGGCAAGGCTGGTCTCCAACTCCTGACTTCAAGTGATCTGCCTGCCTTGGCCTCCCAAAGGGCTGGGATTACAGGCGTGAGTCACCCCCTTGAGCCGAGAAGGCCACTCTCAAAGAGACGTTAGACCTATTGGAGTCTTGGTCTCTTCAATTCTGGGCCAAGTTCTTCAGCCTCTGAGGGTGTCTTCCAAGTTGACCTGCTATAAACCTGGGCCTTTCTGTGTCTTATACTGACGTCAGAGGTCACGGAGAAGGGTGGACCTAGCAAGGTGGGGGTTGGGGGGCACATTAAGGGTTTGTACCTCTCTTTGTACTCCAACTGCTTCATGACCTAATTATCATTGGTGTCTTCCGTCAGAGTACAGGCCACAGAGATTTGTTAACACGTGTGCAAAACACTGTAGGTAAAAGTAGATGCTTTATGATGCCATTTCCATCAAGCACAGACAGAACTCATCTAAACTACTACCAGTCAGGACAGCAGCTACCCCAGAGAGCTGGGAAGAGCTCCTGGGAGGGGAACAGAGGCAGGCTTGGCTGCAGGTAAATGTCTTCACACTGATTTTGTGGCTGGTTACACAGATGTGTAGTTTACAAAAATCCATCTTGTGATATGTGCAAGCTTCTGAATGTTTTAACAAAAAGGTTTGAAAATAAGTAAATCAGCCAGGTGAGCACAGTGGTGTGCATCTGTAGTCCCAGCTACCTGGAGGCTGAGGCAGAAGAATCTCTGGAGCCCAGGAGTTCAAGGCCAGCTTGGGCAACATAGCAAGAACCTTAGAAAAAAAAGCCGAACATTGTGTATGCATTTGACTCTAGGGCAAATATATATTTTTTTGAGGGGGAAAAGGCCCTAACTTCCACTTATGTATGCACATTTACATGCGCCTTCTCAATCATCTGAGGCACTATCCCTACCTGACAGGTGACCAAGGTGAGGCTGAAGAGACTGACGTACCCAAGTGGTAGAGGAGCTGGGACTGGGCCTCCCAGCCACAAAGCTGCACTGCTTTTCAGAAAAAGGTTTCATAACCCAAGCACTGGGCTGCAAGACTTGGGAGGGCAGACACCTGGCTGTACTCATCTGGGAGTCCTGCTGCTCAATACTGAGCCTGACTCAGAGCTGCGTTATGTCCAGCATGTTTATCCAGTGTATGGAAAAAGCTGAGTTGTATCCGTCATTGCTTTCTATATATTTGCACTATTTCAAAATTAAAATATTAACATGAAGATCCAACCACTGCAGCCCAACATCAGTGCTCTCACACTTTGCCCCTCAACTTGGGCCCCCGAGAGGGCATCATGGATGCCAGAATCCTTGAAAAGAACTAAGGAATGGCAAGAGTCCAGGGCCCCAGCAGCAGGTGACTCTGGGATGTGGCTCTAAGTTCCTGAGTCTTTCTGGTTTAAAGAGAAAGTTTCTTTTTTTTTTTGAGACAGAGTCTTGGTCTGTCGCCCAGGCTGGAGTACAGTGGCATGATCTCAGCTCACTGCAGCCTCTGCCTCCTGGGTTCAAGCGATTCTCCTGCCTCAGCCTCCTGAGTAGCTGGAATTAGACACCCGCCACTATCCCCAGCTAATGTCTTTTTGTTGTTGTTTTTAGTAGAGACGGGCTTTCACCATGTTGGTCAGGCTGGTGTCGACCTCCTGACCTCATGATCCATCCGCATCGGCCTCCCTAAGTGCTGGGATTACAGGCAAGCCACCGCGCCGGGCCTTTTTTTTTTTTTTTTTTTT